ATTTTTCCAAATAAATTTCATGATTGCCTTTTCTATTTCTATGAAGAATGTCATTGGGATTTCAATAGGAATTGCATTAAATCTCTATAATGCTTTTGGCAGTGTGGCCAGTAGGACAATATTAATTCTTCCTATCCAGGAGCATGGGAGATCTTTCCATCTTCTGAGATTCAACCCTCAGCACAAAAAATAAGACAAAATAAAACAACACAACAACAACAACAAACAATGAGGGCCTACAAGAACACCTAACTCTGTTGGGGGTGTCTGGGAAATGATTGCATGAAAGGTAACTTCTGTGTTGTCTTGAGAGATGCATAGGTAGAACTTCATGAACATGAGTGCAATTTAGGTTGAATGAATAATGTGTTCAGAGTCACCAGTGTTTCAGAGGGCATGTGGCATTGAGGGGGCAGCAAGCTGTTTTGCAGTTTTGGTGCATGAGATGTATGTGGGGGTAGTGACAAGGACTGGATTAGGAAGGGACCTCACATCACACCAATGATTTTGAACTTTATTCTATAGATGACGGGAGCCAATAAAGTACTAAGGGAAGATCAACTTGATCATTTTTGTAACAATCATGCTGGTAGCAAAGTGGTGACAGATTCTAGTGGGATGAGATTAAGGACCGGGAGACCCATATTGAGGTGGTCGCAATAGTTCAAGCCTGAAATAGGGGAGTGCCAACAGGAGGAACAGGAGGTACTGATGAATTCCAAAGATTTTAAACTTATGTCCAGTTGAACACAGATGATAGAAAGACAACAAATCTAGAATGAACTCATCATTTTCATTTGAGTAAGAGAATATCATTTATTAAGTTAGGGTTTCTGGATGATGAACAGGTTTGGGGTCAATGAAGGATACACAGTCATACAGTGCTGCATAATAATATTTTGATCAATGACAGATTGCAAATATGACAGAGGCCCCAGGAGTTTATATTACCTGTGACATCATGGTCATCTTAGTTTGTGTAAAAACACTATCATGTCCACACAGTGTCAAAATTGCCCAAAGATGCAGTTCTCAGGTAGTGTCCCCATTGTTAAATGACGTCTGGAAGTACCTAACTGTGTTTCAGTTGAGGGGAGCTTGAAGCGCCTTCAGAGAGGTCCCAGTGATAGAGTTTGAGCCCAAGAAACAAATGGACTGGGGATAGAGCTTTGGGCCATCAGTGAGTTGTTAGTTGTTGCAACACGCAACTAACTCAGTCAGGGTCACTCCAGGTGAATTGGGCTGGCTATTACGTAGCCACACAGACACAGAAAGTAGCCTTTTCTTGGGGTTCAGCGATGGCTTCTCAGCCCCAACTCCCACAAAAGAAGCAAGAGAGGAAGACAAAAAAGAGAGAGGGGAGCATGTTCTGAAGCCCTAATTATTGAGGAGGAGCCTTGAGAAAGTTCCACCAAATGAGGAAAGCGATTGGGTTTCAGGGGGGTATAGCTTAGTCTCATTGGGGGACACCCATCTCCAGAGCTTCATTCCCCTGCTGAGTGGAGGTGAGGTCCACCTGCTTTCATACACATCAGAAGCCATTTCCACACCTCCATTGCCCACGGCAAAGGGTATGTGCTCATCTCCTATGTAGCAGCTCCAGACAGAACTGTAGCCAGAGAGGATCAGAAACCTATCAAGGAGAGGGAAATGTGTCCCCCTGTGAGGGAGCAGCACTTAGGGATTTCATGAAGGAAGAGTCCAGCCAGGGGATCTAAGAAGGAATGTGCAGAAAAGTTGAAGGAAAGTCAGGAGGAGATGGTGTGTCACTAAGGCTAAAGATTAAGAAGTTTTCTTGGGAGAAATAGATCAACACTGCCAACGGAGAATTGAGGAGGACCGCATTTTCCCCTGGATTTGGAGGTCTTTGGA